CTGATTCAGAAAAAGAAATATAAAATAAAACATCTGTCATCTCTGGAATGTAGCATAAGTTTACAATAAAAATACAGATCATATTATAGCCAGTCCATTCACATAAAAGATAATCCTATAACCTTTGATTGCATTTTTTAAAATGTCAGACCCTGCCCATTAAATGCATCTGTCTACACTTTCATAAATGCGACTCATAGAAAGCCATTGCACAGAAATGTTATTGCAGAAATTGATGATTTATGACAGGCTATTACTTCAATATATTTCACTTAGCATTATGAATAACATCTATACCTCATGAGCTGATAATGTGGCATCAATTACCAACCTCCTGAACTGCTATCATGCGGAAAAAAAAAAACGTTAGAAAATTCAAGTTCCCACGTAAAACAGCAGCTTCGGCATTGGACTTTGTGCCATATGCAAACTAAGGCTGACATTTATTCTGGGATGAAGGAGGACCACTGGAGCGTCATAAAGAATGAACTAAATTCCACTGTGATTTACACTTCACAACCTCACTGAGGTCCACTGGATTTCACACACTGTAATTCAGTACTAAATTTAGTCCAAAGTAGACACACGTACCTACATTTTTAGCACTATTTTGAGACAGTCAAAAAGTTTCACTCTTACTCCCAGAAGGTTTGAGATTACAGTCATATCATATTTAGAAATGCTTCTGTCTTGAAGAAACAGTAGTTTTCTTTCTCATTTCTGGTAAGGTAAAAGCCTAGTTAATTTTTCTTTACTTATATGCATCAGTTCTTATACTAATGGCTTTGAATGGAAGGCTACAGAATCTATAAAATGTGCCAAACTCCTCTGGGAGAGGCATCTCCATTCACTAAAAAAAATAACCAAACCAAAGCAAAACCCCCACAGATTAATGCTTTCTGTTTTGTGTATACACATTACCTGTACACACAATCACATATAAATTAAGGATAAATAAGTAATTCAGTTTAGATACCAATACACTAATAATGAGAAAAATTAACATGAAAATATAGCATTTACAAAGATCTCTTACAGGAGAATTGCATTAGTATCTCTAAGCTATTTAAAACAAAGGCTGAATTTATCAAGATGTAAACATATTTCAAGATGAACAGGCTTCGATCTGCACTATAGACTTTTCTCACTATGACATTTGAAAGTGAGCATGCTGCTACACCTGACTTTAAAGGAAAAAATTAGAAGGACACTTCAGAAACCATGACCCAAACCTGGATCACATACAAACGCAAGCTCTTGATACTGCGATACATAAATGTTTTCACAAGCTTTGTCATAACAAAGCAGCAAGAATATACATAACGTACTTCAATTTGGTTTTATGGGAGAAGGAAACAATAGAGTACTCAACAGAGTATACTGCATTATTGATCAATGAAGGGAAAACAGAAGTATGTTTTTGCACAGTTATATAATTCTTCTGCAACAGAGAATTGTCTCCATAACACATATAACTGGTAGTCCAACCAACTTGTACTGAAGTCAAGAGAAAGCCTATTTTACTTTGAATGGATACTAAGTTTTGTTCATATTAAAACTTACAACTTCAGCAGTTGCTGATATCAGCTTTAAACCAGAAATTAACTTTTTTGGTCAATATTATTTCATAAAGCTTGTCTCCCTGTTACACAGGCACATGGCTATGAGAACAGATATTACAACTTGGACTGCTAAAAGATTTCAGTTATTTATAATTACTTGCATAAATACTTCCTGAAAGAAGCTGATTTTTTTAAATGTCACATCTTCTTATATTTTTCATTGCCATTATTAGGATGAACAGCTTGATTTTATTCAATTTGAGATTTAAGCATATCCATTAAGCCTTCAACAAAAATGACTATCAGACAAATAAAAATAATTACAACTAAAACAGAAACATAAACATAAACTATCCAGGTTAGAAGTTCTATTTTGTGCTAAATCTCAGGGAGTTGGATGGGTAACAACTGTACCAGCTGTTTTTAAGGTCAGAGCACTAAGCACACCTTGTCAGTTGAAGTGGCTGTGCCATGCCCAAACCATGGCCCTTCAAAAATAAACTTATCCTGAGTACTTGATCCAGATATGATAGATGTAGTGCTAAATTCTGCTGAATGAAGTACTGGTAATACTGAAAATATTGTGGGGGATTGTGCGTTAAAGAGCACTGCTCTGATTCTGAATAATCCTGGTATTCCCATAACACAGACTCTCAATACACACAATTCCTCAAAGAATCAGAGTCATTTTTTAAAAAAGCTCACTCCCTTTCTCTCCTAGCAATCCACATTTCCTCTGCAACTCTTTTGTGAAAGCACAGGTTGCTATCCAGACTCCAACAGAAAGAATAAAAAAAAAAAAAAAAAAAAAAAAAAAGAGGCAGGAAAGCTTGATTTTAGTGCTCCTCTTCTTGCTTTGCCTACCAATGTCTATTAATAATGAAATCAGTTCCTGAACTCTGGATGGAAATTTCTGCTGTTTGAATCAGGTGATGGAGGAAGAACGAATACAGCACAGTCCAAGTCATTCTAGGATAAGGAACTAGCACTAGCTACTCCCTTGTCTATGTGCATTGTATTAAAAAGCTAGCATAGACTGATTGTGACACTAAGGATTAGATTAGGGGACACTTATTCAACAAACCTGCACGATTCAGATAATCTTTGGCTATTGTGAAAATTCCACTTACAACTGCTGAGATTCCCCTCAAAATCCCATACTTTTGTTACGTAGCTCCAAGGTAACAGACTGATGTAAACTTGTTATTAGCACAAACCCTACAAGCACAGCCACCAGGAGCCTAATTGGGATTTAGGGAGAACTGCTAGGGAAGTCACAGCACTCACGTAGTTAACTCCTCAAAATATCCACACTCCTGTGAACAGAAGAAATCCACAAACAACCCTACTAAACACAGGCATGGAAATGGTTGTCTCTCTGAAGTGTGGGAGTAAAATCAGGAAATACAATAAAGGAAGTTCAGCAATTGAACCTGTGTGAACCTGCTCTTAAATGCAGTTATTAGACACAAACACTGATACAGTCAAGCTTTTCTGAACTTCAAATGGCATGAAAAATATGTAATTTCAACTTATTCTTGACAAATGCTTAACTGATATTTGTGTTCTTCCTAGGATACAGAAATGCATGCACTACTATAAGTAAAATAAACAGATGACAGTATTCAATTCTGGTTGCTAAAGTTCTGAATCATTTTTAAGAATCCACAATAATTGCACTTCATTGTGCCTTACAGCTTCTTTTATAATACTTTTTTCTTGTTGGGGTAAAGGGAATAGCTCACAAAATCAACTTAACAACACAGTAAATGCCCTTGAATACACTGAAATTCCAAGAATTTAGGTGAGGTCAGGAAGAATTTTCCTACAAAGAAGTAGTGGAAACAGAAAGGAATTAATCCAACCCCCTCAAATGGTCCCATACACCTGAGAACTTCACAATTTGACCATAAAGGCAAGATGCAGACACTGAAAAGGGCAACAAGAATTAGTGAAAGAGCATTTTAGAGCTCTGGGTGCAAGTTAAAACACCTAAAAAAGTATCTCACAAAACACAACTGGCCTATTTCAGAAACACAGTGGGTTGAGTTTCAAATATTATCAGAAGTCATTAGAAAAAAGGAAAAAAATTATATGGTCGCCTAGACAAAAAAATCTACAAAACTCAAGCTTCTTTCCCAGCTGTGATAAATAAAACCACAATTAAAGAACATTGAAATGGGCTCTCAGATTATTTGGAAGAAGCTAGGCAACACAACCAAGCAGCTGGTAGGGATAGATCTCCATAGAGGTGTTACAAATATGTACACAAGAAAGTATTTTGGTGCTTAAGAAGAGCGTGGGCTATGGATTTGAGCTTATTTCCTCAGCAACCATCATGCCACTGGTTATCAAACGATCCTTCAGCCCATTTTGTAGCCTTTGTGATTAAGCGTATCTTCCTTTTGCAATCAAGCTATGTCTGCTTATATTCTGGACTACTTACGTTATCTTGATAACAAGATATCTTATCACGTTATCTTGATAACATCTGGCTTTAACAAATAAATGTACTAGACATGGAAGGATGCAGTAATTCTATCACTTCGTGTTGGTATAAGGTATGCCAGATTCCTTTTTTTTTTTTTCCAGCTTTGATATTGATACTGAAGCAGGAATTCTAGTTACATAAACAAAACATTTGCACTTACTCCAATTGAATTTACACCTAGTTATTAAAGCAGGGGCTCTGGCTCCGTGTATATCACACTTAAGAATCTTCAGAAGAAAACATGAAAAATAAAGAAATTAGACCTACTGAATATTTTCTGCATTACAAACAAATGGGGAAACAGCAACAAAGTCATCAGTAAAATCAAAGCTGCATTTCTAATGCTCCGTTTAAAACTTATGCTTAACCCTAAATAGACCATGAAAAGAGAATAAGCAACCCAGAAGAGCAACATACATAACTGAATATTTAGTTGTTTAATATTCTGCTGGAAAGCATACCATTTCAGATTGCTACAAATTCAGAATAGCTTCTTAAAGCTAAGAGATATTTCAAGTATATGGTTTTCTAAAATAGCTTCTCCAAGAATAAGAACCCAATGAATAGATACAATAAATACAGAAGTCACTAACTCTTTAGAAGTTCTAAAAGCCTCCAGCACATCCTTTGGTGTGTGCAGAAATAAAGTGTGTGTATTTTTTTATATATATGTAAAAATATAAATATATATATGTATAAAATACATGCACACATATCCCCCCATAAAGAAACTATTATGAAATTCAAGATAAGCCTTACAATACAGAAAGCTCTATAACTACCAATGGAGAATGCTTTGCTCTGTACATCTTCTAGAAGGCTGCCCATTTCTACCTAGTTAATTAGGTGCAATTATTCATAAGTACTTCCTTGTATAATTATTGATATCCTAAAGAACTTATACAGTCTGTTTATATTTCCCATGGAACATAAGCTAAACTACTTACCTTTCTTCCTGCTAAAAGCACGATTCATGTTGAAAAATCTATCCAGTCAACGATGTTTCTAGGTTTGGTTTTTCCCCCCCACTTTAACCTGAAGAACAATATATACAAGAAAAATCTGTTATTATATTTGAAGGTAACTCATTCTCATATTAAAGACAATGCAATTGATTTCAAGAGTTCTGAAATAATTCAGAGAAATAAAAGGGAGATGTGCTTTGCTGAGGAAGAAGTTGCAGAAATGAGGAGATTTATGTTCAAATGCCCAGTCGTACTTAATACAGAAAGACATTTTAAAGCTTTCTGGGAAGTTCTTCTCACTGAGATTTCAGAGAAACAGAGCGGATAGCATTATACATATACATGAAGACAAGTATTATACACAAAAAGGTTGGAAAGAAAGCTTTAAAATGAATGCTGACTACAAGACTCCATAAAAACATTCAGTTCATATTTGAACTGTCCTGTTCTGTGTCATTTAGGTTGTCAGATTATTTCAAGCTTTTCTTTCATCTTCACATGGGCTTAATATTGAGGGAACAAGAAAATAAATTAAAAAAAAAAATCACGATATAAAGATTCCTCTTCACTCAGGGATTCAATACTGACAAAACTGCATTCTATCTGGGTGTAACTACCTCCTTGCTCCACTTACATCAGACTATACAGTAATTTCTGCATTTTCTTCACTTAAAACCAGTGATACATCTTAAATTCTTCATTCCTGATTCACAATATTATTTTGGAATTTTACTCTTTACTAACATTTTGCAGCCGAAAAAAAAAAAAATCCAACACATCCAACACTGTTTGAAACCACCCCACTTCGTAGTATAGACATTTTCCTTTCTCAACCATATGTAAATATATTTGCATCACTCTTTTCCATTCTGTTCAGATCTTCCAGTCAAAAGCTGCACCAATGCCCTTAGACTTTTTCTGCTCTCAAAGTAGTCCAGTCAAAGGGGAGAAAAAAAAAAGGAGGGGAGGTGTGTTAAGAAAAAAAAAAAAAAAGAAAAAAAGAAAAT